TTCATTTTCCAGCAGGATTTGGCACCTGCCCACACTGCCAAAAGCACCAAAAGTTGGTTAAATGACCATGGTGTTGGTGTGCTTGACTGGCCAGCAAACTCACCAAACCTGAACTCCATAGAGAATCTATGGGGTATTTTCAAGAGGAAAATGAGAAACGAATCTTCAAAGACATCGTTTTGAAAGGACTTGTTGTCTGCAGTCTGAGTTAGAGAAGAGAGAACTGCAGAGATCACGTGAGGAGAGACTGGGAGGCTGGATTGGGGGATGGAGAACTGGTGCTGTCAGCCAGATGGGACTAATTGTTATTGTGTGCTGCAGGGGTTGCAGTGTGTGCAGCCTCAATCTATTTGTGAGCAGCACTACAAGATGATTTCAACTGTAAGTCTCGTGTTTCCCCTGAAACATTGTCTGTCAGAATGCCTCTCCTTATATGAACAAACTGGGATGAGATGATAAAAATGAGATCGAGAGAAGTATAGAAGTGAAAGAAAGAGGACAGAAAAGGACGGAAGGCTATGAAGGGGGTTAAAGTACAATAGCAAAGGAAAGGAAAATGTGTCAAAGTATTAAAAGAAAAAAAGAAATGGCAAGAAATGGTAAGCTTTTTAGATGCATCTTTTTGTCCTTGAAGCAAATTTGTGATAATAGCTCACAGTGTGTGTGTAATTAAGGGAAACTGGTCATGCCTGCCAGGAAAAGTAAGACTGCACTGGTTTCATAGCCGGTGATACACTACAGTTAAACTCAGACAATTTACCATTTAAATAAACTGCCACAAATGCTACTGTTTGTCAGACCTAAATGATCATATCAAAGTTAATCATAACATTAACCATTGTGGCGTAACTGCAAAGTATTTTAAAATAGGATTTTTTAAAAGATTTTTGATGCCAAGGACCCCTAAAAGTGCTTATTCTCTTGCAAGAGACCACCTTTCTAAAATATAAAGTTAGCTATTTATTTTTATGTATTTTAAGACATATATCGTCAGAAACAACATGCTTCTACAGACAAAATGTTCTTTGCAAAATTCTTTTTTTGTGTGTGTGTGTGTTCTTACAGTACTGAAGCTAAGGCAAAATTTTAAATATCATGTTGAAAAATACGGACTTAATATTTTTTAAACCCAGTATTACAGTAAAGTAAATGTAATTGTAAATCAGAATAAATTTATTTGCAATGTATTGTTTCAGAGCTGTTGACAGCTTTTAACTTTGGCTGTCCTAAAAATATATTTTCGTGTTTAAACATTTAGTAAAATCTTGGTTGTGGCATGTCAGTTTGAATAAGCCACATCTGATACTGTGGGCATCACCAACCACCACAACCCATCTCTCATTCTATCAATCAATCTACCTTTCTCTTGTGCTGTTTTTCTTTCTCACTTTCTCATCTGTCACGTGATCTACACAAACTTCATCTTGATAAAACACACAATGCAGTGTCTTGTTAGGGGCTTGTGATTAGAAAGTGTTCCACGTGTACTGTAAACACGACATTGCTTTTTGTTTTCGAAAAAATAAATATAAAAATTATATTATATTTAAAAAAATGGTCTAACCCATTTTTTGTTCTTGATTTTGTAGAGCTGTAGAAACATTAGTTGCCATGGGGACCAGGGGGGCCTGGTGTCGTTGCAGACATCCTGGCACCCAGTTTATTGGGTGAGGGGACTGTGACGATTTGTTAATCTAATGAAAAATTGTGTGTTTGATTGGTCCAGACGCTACATTATTTACAATTATATCAATGCCAGAGCATTAAACTGATTTTGTGCATAATATGTTTCTCTGTTGCTAATATGACAGGAATAATCTAACCTGGATTCATTGCACAATGACAGGGAATAGCACAGTGCAGCTGAGTGCCAGATGTGGATGATAAAAGAATGGGAAGTATATGCAGGAAATATTTAGGATTTTTAACCTGCTCTTGGCATTATACTTTTGCTGTAGTGATTATATAAAGCAACATTGATGTAGGATTTTGTCTTGTTTTCACTGAGTATGTGTGTTGCTGTGATTATGCTGAAGGTAAGATTTCATCTTAATCCTTTAAATTAAATATAGCATGTGTGTAAATGTAGCATCAGATATTGGTCATGTAATCGAAAGAAAACATAAATCTGTACATGCAAACATTTTTCCAGCTTCTCAACGTGTCCAAATTTCATTCACCTTAAGTGGCCTATACCCTGGCAGCAGTCCAGACAGAGTCCTCTATGGCATATATATTCTCAGCAGTGACTCATTCTGGTGTTTTGAGCCTCCCGGAGGAAGCTCTCTTTCTCTCTCCGTAATTCCTCAAGCTGAAATACTGAGAAGAACCTCACAATGCTGCTTTGTCCTTCAAAAACACTGAAGTCATAGTTTCCCAGGCTGCTGCCCCCTAGAACTGAAGAACTGAGAGGAGGGGCGCAGAGCTTGGTAAATTGCTTGCTAAATTTTTTTGCCATGAACAAAAGGGTACAATACATTCTTGTGCTTCTGTAGGGATCTTCATTACCCCAATATAGCTGATGATGTTCTATAAAATGTTCCCCAGCCTCCTTCACTTTGATAAATGAGAAAATTAAGGATTGTTTCCCTTTGAGCATGAATCTGAATTGAATTGGCACCAACCTGTTTGTCTGTCTGTGTTCTATCTATCTATCTATCTATCTATCTATCTATCTATCTATCTATCTATCTATCTATCTATCTATCTATCTATCTATCTATCTATCTATCTATCTATCTATCTATCTATCTATCTATCTATCATTCTATCGTTCTATCTATCATTCTATCTATCATTCTATCTAACATTTGTTCATTCTGTACCTCTCGTTCAGTCTACCTGTCTGTTTGTTGTTTTAGCTATATATCTGATGTTTGTTCTGTCTATCATTCTAGTTATCTAGCTATTATTTGTTGTATCTGTCTGTCTGTCGGCCTGTCTATTGTCTTTCTGTCTATTCTATCTATCATTTGTTATATCATTCATTCTATCTATCGTTCGTTCAATTTGTCAATTTCGTCTGTCATTCTAGTTATCTATCAATCTATTGTTCATTCTATCTATCTATCTATTTACTGTAGATAGATAGCCATTATTTGCCTTCATACTTCAAAAAACAAAAATGTGACCAAATGTATCGTGGCATTGATTATGAATCATTCAAAAATCAATAAGTCCACATGAAAGCTGGATATTGATATCATAAAAATGATGTTTTCACATCAGAAATGTAATCCTCTCACTCCTCTTTATGCATATCCCATTATAAATTCCTGATGTAAGCTTGTGAAAGTGCACTTTGAAAAGGTCAAGTGTCTTTTATTTTAAACACTGCTCAAGAAGCTCATGTTGGTTGGCTACAGAAACACTAAACGTTGTTTGCTTGTGTGGAATAGATCAGTGACAATATTAATGCTATGGTGGTGACATGCACAACCCACGTTCATAAATATAACACTGAGTAATGCAGCTATTTCTGAAAGAAATATGAAATGAGGTGAGATATATGCTTTATGCATTTTCTCACCATGTATTTTAATGAGAATGCTATGTGAATGTATAGCTATTGATTTTGTCATTGAATTCTAATCTCACATTTAAACACTCTTATAGTGTTTTGCAGTGTCACTCAGACCACAATCCATCTCACTAAGAGCTTTTCTCCTGCACTGCAAGATTGCAGATAAAATGGCATGATGACAGAGCTATGATGTGGGTCTCTGTGACTGCAGGTTTAAACACCTCGCTGACAGGAAGTGTCAGGCCACCGTCTTAGTTCTCAGAACATCAAATCTTTGAACATCTCTGACACCTGAATGAACAGATCTTGTGTCACATGCTCATTTTTTGGACATCCTGAATTCATTTTGAACACTCCAGGTTTTAGATCAAATCAGATACTTCCAAACACATTTTTAACACATCTTGCCATATTATGGAAATCAAACTAATTATGAATCACCCACAGAATAAAAAAACAAAAACAAAACAAAACTTGAGTCTGAATTGAACATCTGTGCTGTTTCTTATTTCTTATTTATAACAAGATCACATGCAACCATCAGATATCCATGCTTCGTTTTAGACCTTACAATGTCCTTATGAACTGCAGGTTTGGAATGAACAGAGTGCTACATGGTTTAGCAATTAATGAGCCTCCATTCCCAGTTTTCCAGCTAACTACCAACCTTTCAACCATCTCCCTGACTAAACTGAGAAATGCAATGATATGTAGTGACCTAGAGACTGACTATAGTATCTTTTTCTTTCACTCACTTTCTAGCTATTTCAAGGTTTTTATCTATTGCATGCATTTCACCCTCATGTTGCATAAAGCCCTTATTTGTGTATTTTTTATATGATGCATTTTGATTAATCAGTTGAAGAATTCAAAGGACAGAATGACATTTATGAATGGCATCGTCCAGTGCCTGTTTCCTGTGGCTGTGGTCACATTTGGTCTCTATGTGCCCTCTACAAGTTATGAATTAAAAGTCATATTAATATTGCCAATGCAATTTATCCCCCAACTAACTTTATAAAATACAGTTAGCAGGAATTTTTTCAAAATAAACACCAACAGTGTTCCTCATTCTTAAAACTCAAATCAGTAGGCCTATTTCATGTCCATATTTGAAGAGTTCAGATGCAAAAGCCTCTAAGTACGTCTGACGGTTTTTTTTTAAATGAGCATTTCTTTCTGGCTACTATGTATAGGTTTCTATGTAAGTACCGGTACTTCTGAATGGGTTGAGGCTGGGATTTAGCGCATTTGAAGTGAAAGTACTTGATGAACATATACTATGTGTGGAGAGCATTCACTCAGTATTGCTATCTCATTTTGGACCAAGATGGCTTTTAGAGGCTTTTGCATAGGAACTCTTCATTTTTATTTATTTGCTGTGTAGTAGGGTGTACAGTCTGCTGGTCATTACTGCAAAGTAAACCTCCTTCAGGGTTATACAAGATCACTTCGATCACCCTGCCATGGTTTATTTTGCAATAATGACATTTGTGGCAGTGATGCAATTATTGCCTATACTAAGAGGTAATAGTATCAAGTGTTGGTCTGGGTCCTCAATGCCTTATCTTAATCTATTGTGTATAACTTCATATTTTAGTTAATAGCTATGAGAAATGGGACACAGAACAAACACATTGATACCTCTAAGGTAAATGATACCTTGAGCTAAACACATTGGCTTTAGAGAATGGAAGTGTAAACGAAACGCCCTGTGTGAGAGAGTGTGTGTTTGTGTGTGGGCCCTGGGAGGGGTGCATATGGAACGGATTGGATTGGTTGGGGGACTGAATTCGACAATAGGAGGAGTCTCATACGATGCTCGGGCGCTATTCTGTTCTTTGCTTTGCCGCTGAGATTGTAATGCAACGGAGCCCAATCGAGCTCAGATTATGCCATCTCAACTCTTCCTTCCAGAGCATGCGGACCTGAGGACCACATAAACGGCATGGGCACAGACGCAACGCCGCACCACTCACACCGAAACCTCTTGTAGGCAGGAATTGTATTTTCTTCAGTCACTTCTGATGGCAGATCTTGAACAAGAAGGAGCAGCTTCTCCCCAAGCCCAGCAGCTCTTCTGAACGCGAGGGATCGGATCTGAGAAAGCGCAGGTGTGCCCGGGGTGCTTACAGTGGACCTTGTGCTTCTATCTAAAGGGGATAGTATCAGGATTACCAGCAGATGTAAACTGAAGGACACTTCTGATAGGTACTGGTGAGGAAGAAGGGGGGAAAGCTGCAAACTGAGAATCGGGAGCTTGCGCGCAAGGCTCAACACATCACTGGATTCTACATTTATACCTCAAGAAAAATGTCATCTCAGACGAAGATTAAGAAGGACAAGGAGATCATAGCGGAGTATGAAACGCAAGTGAAAGGTATGCATGCTTGCCTGTTACGAATCGATCCGAGGAGTTTAGATGAACATCATTTCACTTGGCCTGCAGCGAGATACTTGGATGTTTGATCCGATTCATAACCTGCTTCTCTAAATAAACAAAGATGACTTGTTTAAGCCGTAATAACATTTATTCTTTAAAATTTGCAGCGATTTTTATGCTCCTAGCACTCATCCATTTAACTAGTATATATTAAACCAGTAGGCTACTTAGGGTATTCATTAGATGCTAGTAGCCACACTCTGTTAGGTTAATTAGTACTTTTTCATTACTAGTATTCTTTAGCTACTAGCCGTCACTATCCCAACAGTGACATGTTACTAGTCCATTACTGGTGACATATTTTTGCATCTTTGGCTCTGACATCAACTATTCACTTCCATCTAATACTGTATGTTTTTCCAGTTGTTGTCAGTCGTGCTAGTAACTATTCTTTTAGTATTAGTGTATTGGGTATTTCTTAATTATCCCAGTAGTTAGTAGTATTGACTTTACATGACATACTAGCACTTGTTAGACACTAATGTGAATTTCATTTATTACTAGTAACAGTTTTGATTTTACTATAACGTAGCCATTCTGACTAGTCATTACACACTTAATGAGACGACTAGTGAGATATGAAATGTTACTAGTAGCAATAGGCATAGATACTAGTATCTCATAAACAGGACAGCAATAAAGTCCATGTAATGGTTTGGCATTTGTGCATCAAGACCTGATTGCGTCTCATTCTGGCTTCCTTCTTGCTGCCTTTTTTACCCCGATGTTTGACTTTGTGTTTGTTTGTCTGAGTTGCATTGTGCAATAGTTGGGTGTGGGATGTCCTTGCTGCTTTGTAGCCATCTGTCCCTTCCTCATGTCAAAAATGTGTCCAACAATAACAACATTAGTAACTTTGATTCTGTTGACACGGGGTGTTGTGCAGCACAGGAATGGTTTGATATATTCAAATGTGTTTTATTGCAATGACTCGTGCGCCATTGCACACACATTCCTGCTATTAATGGTCTGCACATTAAGTGTTTGTGCACACATTGTGTTTTGGTGGAAACAAGAAGCTTGGGTGAGGGTTTTTGTTGCTGGGTAGAATGATGTATTGTAGTGTCATGCTCTCTGCACAGATGGGTGGAACTTCAAGGAGACCAGCGAGCTTGGTTAATTCTTCTCCTTTGTTTACAGTGTACTAGACCTTTTTGGCAGATCTTGCATTGAAGGGAAAACAAAGATCTGTGTATGTAAATAAGTATTCTAGTGATCAAGTGAGTATGTCTAGATGGTGATCTGTTGTTGTGAACAAGATGCACAGATGTTATATATTGTTCCCCCCGTTTACAGGATACTTTCCCCCTCAATAGACTTGAATGACAGTTGGTGTTTGACTAAATGTGTTAATTCACAAAGCGTTTTAACAGCTTTAGTGTCTGTAGTGTATATTTGTTGTTTGTCAGACTGAGTTTGTCTGTCAAGGTTTAGAAACTAACTAGGTTTAGTCTGAAAGGGCGTTGCAGAAGCAGTTCATTGATTGGCTACTCAATAATGACGGTGAAGGTTCAAAGGATTCTGGTCATTGAAATGAAAGGCTGGATTATTTGTAAACCCAATAGAAAGGGTGAATAATAACTGAGAATAGTCATTAATTATTAACTGTTAATAGTACAAACACTTAACCAGTTGCATCCATTTAAAATGAGCTTATGCAGCAGAGCAGGGTTTGGTAATTTCTCCCAGTTAGCCTTATTAATATTCAACATTTAAAACGGGCTGTCCTGAATTTCAGGGATTAAGTGTAATGTGATGCACACTGAATCTGCAGTGGGATTTACAAAGTCTGTTCCTCTACTCGAGGAACCCTTCACACTAAACATCTCTGATGTGATTCTCGCTTGAGTTGCTTTTGTTAAAAGAGTCTTGCCCCTCAGTGTTTTGAGAAGACCACATGGCTCTGAAGCATAGAGGGGCCCGTTCCATACTTTGGATTTACATAAATGTTGTGATCTGTAACACTGCCACTCTCTTCAACAAATGCTATTAACATAAAAATGTGGACCAGCCCTTCCCCCATCTGTAATGAAATGGTACCAAAGAATTTAGAAAATGTCAGAATATGTATAAATCCAGCTGGACTTGCTAACATTAGTTGTAGTAATATATTTTAATTTAATAGTAATGACGATGATAATAATAATAATGCTAATGATATTATTTATTAAATTATATATATATATATATATATATATATAATTTAATAAATAATTTGTTACATTTTAAATATTTTTAAATATATTATAATGTATTTTATAATAATACATTATTATTATTATTATTTTCCATGATGCTTCATTTTATAGATTTTTATCTTCAATCATTAGCCTTTTGAGCAGCAAACTACGAATGACACCGAGTGGTTTGCTAATGCCAGATGGACTCCCATGACGATGACACAGACCCATGTTAGCTAGTGGTGACCATTTGATTTCCTTTCACCACAGCAATTTACCATAGCAGATGGAATGGATACAAACAAAAACAATATAATCTTGATGTGGTCAAAATCATCTAGCTCATGTTATATTGATGCATTTGTTTGTAACAATCACTAAAGTGTTTGGTGCAAATGACTCTCAGATGTACATTTCCATATATCAACTTTAAAATCACAAATTTTCATAAAACTAAATGTGAAACAAAAGTGACATATTTAGATTTTGCTATCTGTCAACAGCTCTGGAGCCATTAACACAAACTGCTCTACTGTCTGACACCTCTCCATTGATGTAAATCCTAGCGAATGGTAGTGAAGTAAAATATGTTAAGTGGAGATTCAGAGACGTGAGCTGATGAAGGGCCGCATATGTAATCATCACAGAACATTTCACCTACATAATGTACGAGTACGAAAAGGTGGTTGGAAACAGCTAAGCAACTTTTAAAATTATTGTGAATAATTGAAGTCACAATTAATTATGTAAGAATGAAGATTGAAGAGATGAAGAGTAAAGCTAAATCAAATACAAAAAGAGAATGAGTAAAAAAGAAAGAGGCGGAGTTGAGAGATGAGTAGTTTAAGCGTTGTTGGAGAATCTTTTGAAAGATTACTACGTTACTCCAGTCTTCAGTCTCACATGATCCTTCAGAAATCATTCTAATAATAATTAAGCAACAAATCAGCATATTAGAATGATTGCATATTAGTAATGGATGTTGAAAATGCAGCTTTGCCATCACAGGAATAAATTGCATTAAAAAAAATATTCAAAATAGTTATTTTAATTGTATAATTTTCCAATTTTGATTATTTAATTTTATTCAACCAGATTAGTGAATAAGACTGAAATTTATCACATGAGAGTGAGTAAATTATAACAGAATTTTCATTTTTTGCAACTAACCTTTTAAGGGAAACTTTTAAACTTATATAACCCCAGGGGCCACAAATACTAATGACTCACTTTAGTTTTTTTTTCATGATGTCATATTAGTAATGATATTCAGTCCAATTATAGTCTTCATCGGTGCATACAGTCAAATCACCATGTGAATAACCTGCAGTAATCACCAAATCATCCTGATAACTTCCGTCTCTAGCGTATGAATCCAGGCAGGTAGCGATAACTCACGGTGTGACAGAAGTGATTTAAAAAAGCATTTCATTACGAGCTTTCTGATATGGCCCTAAAGAGACCTATCCATCGCAAACCAATCACTGCGCAAAAAACTAGCATAATATGCATGCTGGTGAAATACCCTGTTAAGATGATAAACAATCCCTATATAAGCAGCTGAGAGTAAATTAGCATAAAACCGCCCACTCCCTGCTCATGCATGCTTTCCACGTGGAACCTTGCTTAATTAAACAGAAGCATTGCTCCTCTGACACATGCACATGCAAATTGCATAATTAATGTTTTGAAATTCGCAGGAGCCTTTCAAGCTGTCAAGATGAGTACAGAAGAGGGTCAAATGCAAATACACTAAATGTTCTATTTACATCAGTGAAACACACAAAGAGATCATATGACAGAATGTCTGAGATTCTAGGCTGTTCTTGGAAAGTGGATGGTGATTTGTAATTCTAAGCCCCAAAATGAACAAAAAGCAGTGAAAAAACATCAGGAAAATAGTCAATAGGAGCCACACACTGTAATTCAAGTCTTCCGAAGCCATATAAGAGATTTCTGTGTTTGGTGAAAATCTTTTATCCTAAAATCACATTTGTGTTTGCAGACATTGGTGCCTTGAGATGATTCACGCTTCAAGTGCTATTGGTTCTCATGTGTCTGGTGACCACAAAGAACCAATATGCACAAGCTCCTTTTGGAACAAGTCTATTTTGTTGTATGGAAAAAGAGCAGCTTGGAAATTTTGCTAAATGTTTACGTTTCTATAAAATACATAGAAAAGAAAATCATACTGATTTTCCATTTTTTACTATTTTGCTCCTTAGAAGATTTACTTTGGGTGATTTATAAACCAGAAATATAACATTAGTAATAAGTGTTTGAAAATTTTATAATAATTGTAAATATACAGTAGTATATTGCAAATTTTTCATGTTTTAACGCAGCACAATTTTTTTGTAATGCTGGAGCCAGTTATTATTATTAATCATTTTTTTACCCTCAAGTTTATTAACCGGTAAAGACACTTTTTTTTAACCTTGTTGGATAGTCTAGCAAGACACAAAACTATATTATGGAATAGTGCTGGGCGGTATGACCAAAAATGTATACAGTATCACAGTATTTTTCAAAATTATACCGGTTTCACGGTACATGACGGTATTTTTTTTTCATGCATGACCAGGTGTTAACCATATTTTCTACTGATTGAGAGAGGAAATACGGCAGTATATTGACTTAGAATGCCCTATTTTACTGTCATGATGAGTGAATATTGTCAAAAAACACCACACTACATAGTGACTAAACACGACCCCTTTTAATACACGTTAACGAGGAGTCACTCATTTATAATCG